ATGGTGCTTGGAAATGACAATACTTCTTCAGGAACTCTCATTCCTGATGGAGATCTCTTATCACAATCTTAGGTTAAAAGGTTAGGGTTTCATATTATTATACTAAGGATCCTGGAATTCAGACTCCTTATTTTTTTTTTTGTAGCTTTCAAGTTTGAAGAGCCCGTTCCTCCTACTGAAGAAAGGATTGAGAATTTCCTTGCCATGCCCGAGATTGAGAGATCAGTCAAGCTCGATCATCTTAGCCATCAAGAAAGTCCAACTGCCATTATCTCTATGTCTGTTGGTAAGGATCCTCAATTTTATTTCATTTTTATGAAAGGTTTTAAAGTGATAAAAAATTCTTTTGCCATGTTTTGGATTCAAGTCTACACGTTATGGTGCTCGAGTTACCTCCCCAATATTGACTCTGCCATGTCCAGTGGGTACTTGGTGGTTAAGAAAGAAAAGTCCTCGTCCTCTCTCCTTCCAAGGAAAGCTCCCATAGACCCGACTATCAAAACTCCAGGATCCCAAAAAAGGAAATCAGCTGAGGTTTTTAACCTGGAGAATCTTGAGGTGGACGAGGAGTTGAAGAACTGATCTCTTTCTTGCAATTTGTAAGTACCCTATTATTTTCTTATATCCGTCTTCAGTTTTCTCACCATTGTCTCTTACAGGTGGCTGACCATATTTCTCATTCCTTCGAGGATCTAAAGGCCAAACTTAGCTAAATAGAACAAGATTTAAAGGTACAAGATGTAGCTAAAAAGGAGATTTACAAAGGGTGGATAAATTAGTTAAGGAGAAAGTATAATAAGAAGATGAGCATATGTCGGAGATCAAAGAGGTGATAGTTGAGGCCATGAGTAGTGTTGCCAAGGTGGTTTGGGAAGCAAAAATAAAGTCCATAGAGGGTATCAAGAACACAAAGTCCTGGGGTGTAGCTGGGTGGCGTGAGGCCCTAGCCAAGTTAACCGGTAGGCCTATCAATGTTTGTTAGGATCCTGCAAGGGAGAGGAGAGATTAAGAAGTGAAGAAGGAAGAGGAAGATAAGAAAAAGACAGAGAATGTTAGTATGATCCCAAGGCTGATTCCTATTTGGTTGGATGCTCCGTCCATGAAGAGCGTCCATCTTCCCATGTTTTCTTCATCTAGGAGTTTTCTTATTTCTATCTCCACTTCAACTTGTAGATCATCACTAAAGTCAACCATAAAATCTGCTAATGCTTGTGACTTTATCGCGGATCACGACTCATACTTTATATCAAATGTGCTAAGCTTTACTAATCATTTGGTTGCAAATTGGTGGTTGTTGAGGCCAACAAAATAAATACCCTAAGTATTACACACTAAAATAGTTTATAGTGGAAAAGGGATCGTATCCACGGAGATTGGTTCAATTTAAATCTCTATGTAAATCACTCTGTAAAATACTTGCAAAACAAAATTAAAAGTAAATTGGGGGGGGGGGGGGGGGCTAATTCTTTTTGATTGTTTGGCAAAATTAAAACTAGCTAGAATTTAAATATGACAAGTAACAAGTAAAAGGTTTGCTTAAATACAATGAAGTGAAATTGGTAGATTTTGGGATACTCCACATGGATGATATGGTTGACTTATCATTAGACTAGATTGAATAACTCTTGTGAATTGGTTCAACTTGGATATAACAATTCATAAGCACAAATTACCTCAACTCTTCTTAGATATTAAAATGGTTAGAAGAGCTCTTAACACATTTCCTTAATTTAAGTCACAAAATCAATGAAACATAAAATCTTGTGAAAATCAATTAGCTTTAAGTTATAAGAGCTACCAAGTCCAAAAGATAATCAAATGCTTACATTATCATAAGCCATTCCAAAGCCTTTGATGATCAATCCAATGCTCCATCAATCTTCTATAGCTCGAATTCTCATTGACCCACCCGAAATTTAAGTCTGACACACTTCTTGCTTATATTGACACCAAGCCCAATTCCACCACTTCAAGTTCATGAACAAATTGAAAGCCTCTAGCAACCCCGCACTCCTTATACACCTCCAATAAAAGATAGTCTTCGATAAATCCTGCAAATAAGCTCAAAAGACTGAAAAGCACCCGGTAAAGGAGAAAAATAATAAAAAGAGAAAATCTGCATGAAGATTAACTAAAATGAGATGGTTTTAATTAAAAATAAACTATGAAAAGAAGTAATAAAAATGAAACTATCAAATAACCCCAAGCTTAAACCTTACTTGTCCTCAAGTAAGACAAGACTAAAATGAACTTGGGATGAACTATCCTAGAAAGAAAAAAGAATGAACATCTTAGGTGGAAATTCACGACACGCCATTAAAATAAAAACATATAATCCATTTTTAGGGATAAGAATCGCTTTAAGGGACGAGCCTTTGTTACCTTTCTTGCAAGGGATACAGATTGATCAAGATGCAAAACGAGCATGCATACTTCGCTAGTATGGTTATGTGACATTGTTTCGTGGTCCGATCTAGCCCACTAGCCATAAGAAAGTGTCCCTCGGTTAAAATGTTGCTCACCCCTCACAACTTCAACTCCACATCAATAATAAAACCTAGAAAAAGATAACTCGGACAAAATATGGAAAGAAACGAGCTATGTACAAAAGTTGGCAAACTACAATCATCTAAAAGAGTAAGTGCATCCACCAAAATATGATCCATGTAAAGCGAAGAGTCGAGCACGTGATGAGTGAACTCCGCCTTGGTAGTTGCCAACAAAAATGATATCTAACTAGAAAAACATCAACTAGGAACTAATTACATGAGCTAGAATCCGAAAAATTAAACATTTACAAAGGCAAACAAACGGATACAACTCTGTGGCCCGTCCTTCACATAATTTTTTGTGGACAACAAAACCCTAAAGACATGTTACAAATACAATAACTTAAGATACAAAAAGGAAAGCACTAAAACAATATGTAATTACATTCGCATTTTATGATTGCTATAACATCCAACTTCCATTTTTTGAGAGACTAGAACCAACAAACATAAGGTTCAAATTTCATGAAATATCTAAAATTTGACTTCTCCAAACAACTTGAGTAAATACTATATTTCATGCACACAAATTACATAGTAGACTTTATTGAAATTTTTGGGTAAATTGATTTTTTTTTAAGTTATAAGACAATTTACTTTTGCCTCACAAAACAAAACTAGAAAATGGGATAGTTGTCTCTCAAATATATATATATATATATATATATATATATATATATATATATATATATATATACAATTTTTATTTTTTTATAATTTATTTATTTATTTATTTTTTTAGGCTCACTTTTTTTGGTTTACCACAGGAGTTTTACAAGAATAGCCTGAAAATAAAAATACAAAACATAACTAAATACAACTATAAGCAGAATCTAAGTCTAACCCAAAGAAAAGGCCAAAATGAGCATAAGTAAACTAAGGCCTATTCGAGATCAAGTGAGAAAAATGCGTCTAAATCATAAAGTAGTGAGATATGATGTAAATTGTAGTAGTTAGACACTAAAGATCTCAAAATGGCACAATGTAGTTTTTATTCCTTTCTTTGGGGTTTGATTATGGCTTGGAAAAAAAATTCAGGTGAGGGACTGGCTGACACAGGGCTAAATTGTCCCCCTACTTATGCCACATTTGACATGGGTTAATTCATATGCAGAACTACTTGCACTCTCTCCCCACATTCATATGCATGGAAATTATCCTAGGCCATAAGCAACAACTAAAAGTCCCTAAGAGCGATTCTTATTTGTCTTTCAAGTAAAGATCTTCGGAGATGAGAGTAAAGGGATAACAAAACTGCATGAATGCTTATGGCCTAGGATAATTGCCATGCAAAAAAAAAAAAAAAAAAAAACGTGAAAAATAAGAAAATAATTTTTTTTTGTTTTTTTTTGTTTTTGTTTTTTTGTTTTTGTTTTTTGTTTTTTTTACATGAATGCAATTTATACTAAAATGCTATGCAACCTAATTAAAATGCATGATAACTTAAAAAGAAAAGGGAATATCCCACCCCAAGCTTAGAAAGAAGCATTGTCCTCAATGATTGGAGTGAGGCAAAAGTACCTAAATCGGGGGATCGGGAGGAGGATACGGGTATTGGGGGTAGGGGTAAGGGTAAGGGGGAGGTGGATAAGGGTGAATAGGTGGAGGGTATGGATAAGGGGGTGGGAGCGGGATGTTCTCAAAATGGTTTTGCGATTGGTGCCACCCCCACATATGGTGCTTTTGCTGGGACATGATTTGGTTAGAGACACAAAGAATCTCGAACCGTTCAGAAAAATTGGGGGGGGGGGGGAGCGGGTAGTATCTGGAAGGTGCTTGGAGCTGGGCTTGTTGTTGACCATGGGTGGGTTCATCACCAGAATCCTCATCTGCATGCATCTCGACATCATCTTGAGCCTGGGACGCATCCACATTGATTGATTGAGTGATGGTTCTCGAGAGTCTCCAATGAGTGCGATCGTGGGGAGTGAAGTTGGAGACTCGAGGGTCAGGGAGAACAAGATGTCCCACTCCTTGAGGACAATACCATGTGAAACTGTTCCTGCTCCAGCAGTGGATGTAGTGATTTTTTGTCAGGGCACGCTCATCCAAAAGATTTTTATTGTCAAAAGTCTGGTATTCATCTAGGAGCTCAATGTCAAGATCGCGAGCCAAAAGGGTGACAAATCCCCCAATGCAAATATCACCGGACGCTTTGCTTCTCATGTGTGCACATTTATGGAAAAAGAACGAAGCAAAGTCCGGGATTGGTGGGCTGTTACGCCTCATCATACACCAAAGAAAGAAGAGCTCATTTTTGGTGACCTAGCCGGTGAATCATGGAGGTTGATTTAGCCTAACCGGCACACGAAAAGATACCCCCAGTTATTTCCGTCCAAAAGGTCTCATGATTGAACTCAGCAGGTAAGACATCGAAAACCGTGGAGGTGTTTGAAGAAGGCAAGCCCAAGATGTTGTTTATTGTTGCAAAATCTATGTACCATCGGTCCCCTAGAAGTTGGAATTCGGTTTTTCTTTTTTCACTATCATACCCTCAATTGGCAAGAAACTCTCTATGGGGAGCTCGTAAGTGTGCGCCATGAGGTTGAGAAGGTTTTCCCACCCAATGTTACAGAACAGTTGGGTGACCCCCTCAAGAAAACCTAACGAAATAAGCGTGGGTCTGCACACGAACTTGGTGGATGCAACCTTTCTAGGCAGGATTTTTGTGTAATTTTCGGCTGCCTTGGAATCCCGAAATCTTGGAATGTCGGGCGCATCATTTTGATTTCTACTTGGGGCCTTGGCTCGGGCGGCAGCCGGGCGCTTCCTAGATGTGGACATGGACAACCTACACGAAAAGTAGCCACTACATGAACCACAATCTCAACAAATGATATTTCAATCCAAATCACCAACCAACTCCCAATGGACTTCTAAAGCAGTTCAACAATCAAAGCAAGAAATAATTCCTAAACTCATTTGATGCAATAGCATATGAATTGTTATTCAGAGACATGCATATTGATCAATTAAAATTAAGGACAGAAAGTACCTATTTTTGTTGAAAGTTAAAAATTTTGCACGCGAAAATTTGGGATTTGAAAATCTTGCAACTCTCCACCCCAAGCTTTAAGCTTTGTTCAATATCTCGTGCGAAGAACTTTACCGCGAAAACCCGAGGAATCCGATAATGGTTTGAAATTCTGGAAAAAAATTTCAGAGAGCTTTGAGAGATATTTTTGGTGGGGTTTGTAGCCTTGTCCAAGAGGAGCACAATGGTGGTGTCGGAATCGCTAGAGGTGGCCGAAGTTGGCCGGAAAACGGTCGGAAAGCGGCGGTTGAATGGTGGTGGCGTCCAGAGTTTCATCAATAGATCGTACCAGTTTTTTAGTGGGGGTTTGTAGAGCTTGAAAATTGGTGAAGAATGGCACTGGTCTCGCGGAATTTCGACCGATGGTTTGACGGGAAACTGAGTTTTAGTGGAGGAGAAGGAGGTGAACTAATGGAGGTTAATGGAGAAGAATGGAGAAGAAGAAGGGAAGAAAGGGTCGGATGGTATCTTATTAGTAAAAAAAAACACAGTCAAACCTGGTAAAAAACGAGTCAACATTGGTCAACAACTCACGCGGATGCGGACATGAGTACACGCAGTCCGCGTGTATTACACTGAAGAACTTCTGTTAGCCGATGATGGATGCAGACAAGTTGGAGACCACACGTGGTGCGTTTTAATAAACACGCGGACATACCTTGGAGTACACGCGGTTCGTCTGTATTAACCTAAAACTCTTCTGTTTGCTGATGATGGACGCGGACACCTAAGGATACCACACGCGGACCATTTGTTTATTAATGCGGACAGGTTCTGGAGTACACACAGTCCGCATGAATTCTGTTGCATTTTCTCCATTTTTTTTCTTTTTGACAAATACGAACACCAGGTCTTCAAATCCAACATTCTTTTACTGCAAGAAGGAAGAAGAAGAGATGTTAAATGCAAAAATGGTCCATCTACGACATTTATTCGAAACTAGAAAACATGAGAACTTTTAGTTTTCCAAAAATTCCCCTCTTTAACGTCTTTGGCGAGACGTGCTTCCCTTTTGATTTCAATACACCATGGCATCCAATTGGATGACATCTAGGACATTTGTGTTAAAACCTTCATAGAAAGGTTTCAAATGATGGCCATTAACTATAAACATTTGCCCCGTTTATTCACTTTAAATCTCAACCGCTCCATGCTCAAAGACTTTTAACACAACAAACGGACCTATCCATATTGACCTCAACTTTCCAGGAAATAATTTTAATCGTGAATGGTAAAGCAAAACCCTATGTCCCGGTTCGAAATGCTTGCGGTTAATGGACTTGTCATGGAAAAGCTTTTTCCGCTCTTTGTAAATTCTTGAGTTTTCATAGGAGTTATTTCTCAACTCCTCCAACTCTTGAAGTTGAAGCTTCCAATGCCTTCTCGCCTCATCGATGTTGAAGTTGCATTGTTTGACCCCCCAAAATGCACGGTGTTCCAATTCCACCGGAAAATGACATGGTTTTTCAAAATCCAACCTAAATGGGGACATTCCTATCGGGGTCTTGTACACGGTCCGATAGGCCCACAAGGCATCATCAAGCCTTGAACTCTAGTATTTTCTTGTGAGATTCACCATTTTCTCAAGTATACTCTTCAGTTAACGATTCAAAACTTCATCTTGACCATTCGTTTGAGGGTGGTAGGCTGTGGAAACACGGTGGGTCACGTTGTACTTCTCCAATAAAGACTTCATCATCTTGTTGTAAAATTGCGCCCCCTATCACTAATCAAAGCCCTAGGCAAACCAAACCTCACTAAGACATTGGATTTTAAAAAGTCGATAACTTTTTTGGCATCATCTGATCTTGTGGATTTGGCTTCAACCCACATAGAAACATAGTCAACCACGAGCAAGATGTAAACGTTGCCAAACAAAACAGGGAATGGGTGCATGAAATCAATCCCCGATACGTCAAAATTTTCACAAACAAGGATTGAATTTTGTGGCATTTGATTTTTTTATGAAATGTTCCCCGTCCTTTGGCACCGTTCACAACTTTTGCAAAACAAGTTACAATCGGATGACATGGTTGGCCAAAATAGTCCACACTCAAGGACCTTTCTCAAGGTCCGGCTAGGTTCGAAGTGTCCCCCTTAAGCAAATTCATAACAAAATTGCAAAATGGATTGGTGCTCTTGTTGGGGGTACACATTGCCTAATGATTTGATTGGGACAATGTTTCCACAAATAAGGCTCATCCCACACATAATATTTTGCATCACTTTTCAACTTGTCTTTTTGAGCACGTGTGAATGTGTCAGGTACCTTTTTGTGACCAAAAAGTTAACGATATCGGCATACCAAGGAATAGATTGAGTAAGGGAAAAGAGATGCTCATCCGGAAACTCGTCCCGCAAAGGGAGAGGAGTTTCATTTGAAGTGATCCGGATCAGGTGATCGGCAACAAGATATTCACACCCACTCTTGTCCCGGATTTCCAAATCAAATTCTTGTAACAATAAAATCCACCTGATAAGTCTAGGCTTTGCATATTTCTTCTTCATCAAGTACTTAAGAGCTGCGTGATCTGAATACATAATGACCTTGGTACCAAGTAGATATTGTCTAAATTTCTCTAAGCCGAACACTATGGCTAATAGCTCCTTCTCCGTAGTAGAGTAGTTTCTTTGAGCATTATTTAGTGTCCTCGATGCATAGTAGATCACATGGAAGGCTCGTCCATTCTTTTGGCCAAAAACGACGCATATTGCATAGTTGCTTGCATCACACATGATCTCAAAGGGGAGATCCCAATTTGGAGCTTGCATGATGGGAGAAGATGTAAGCAAATCTTTGAGCTTATCGAAAGCTTCTTTGTACGCCTCATTGAACTCGAAATCAACATCCTTTTGCAAGATTTGGCACATTGGTCTTGTTATCTTTGAAAAATATTTGATGAATCTCCGGTAGAAACTTGCATGGCCCAAAAAAGAACGAACTTCCCAAAAACAAGTCGGGTATGGTAAGCTTTGAATAACATCTATCTTGGCCTTATCTACCTCAATTCCTTTCTTTGATACAATGTGACCCAAAATGAGACCTTGACTCACCATAAAATGACATTTTTCAAAGTTTAAAACCAAATTTTTTTCAATACATCTTTTTAAAATTTTGGTGAGATTGGTCAAACACTCTTGAAAGGAGTTTCCATATACTGTAAAATCATCCATGAAAACTTCAATTATATTTTCAACATATTCCGAAAATATATTAGCCATACAACGTTGGAAAGTGGCCAGGGCGTTACCTAGTCCGAATGACATTCTCCGATATGCAAAAGTGCCAAATGGATATGTAAATGTTGTTTTTTCTTGGTCTTCCGGTGCCACCGAGATCTGGTGAAAACCGGAATACCCGTCTAGACAACAATAATGGGATTTCACATCCAACCTTTCTAACATTTGGTCAATGAATGGCAATAGGAAGTGAACTTTTCTTGTGCTAGCATTGAGTTTGTGGTAGTCAATACATACTCTCCACCCGTTCTGCACATGGGTGGGGACCATCATACCTTTGTTGTTCTTGACCATCGTGATCCCCATCTTCTTCGGCACGACTTGAACTGGGCTCACCCATTTGATATCCGAGATTAGATAGATCATTCTCGCATCTAAGAGATTCAAAATCTATTTCTTGACTACTTCCATCATTGGCGGATTCAACCTTCTTTGTGCGTCTCTACTTGGATTGCATTCATCCTCCATTAAGATCTTGTGCATACAAGTGGAGGGGCTCAAACCTTTGATATCCGCAATCATCCAACCCATTGCCTCTTTATGTTCCCTCAACACCTTGAGGAGCTGTTCTTCTTCACACATGGTTAGGTGAGTTGAAATGATGACCGGAAGAGTCACGTTGTTTCCCAAGTACGCATACTTCAAATGTTGAGGAAGGACCTTCAATTATAATTCCTGCGGTTGGAAAAGGGAGGGTGGCAATCTCATGTGAGTTTGAGGTAACTCAATTTGCTTCACACTAGATGTGACAACTCGGAATTTTCATTCAGCCAAACCCTAGAAGTCAAGCCCTTCTTATTATGAGTTAATGTCATTATTTCCGATTTTAACAAATTTAGGGTTCATTTGATTATTTTAATATTATTCTTTAAATGAATGGGTGAAAGAAAGTGTCGTCTCGGGTTTTGAAATTTAAAAACCGCAAACTCCTCGTGTCTTAGAAGTTCACAACCAAACGTTTACGTTTAAGTCGGAAAAACTTCCAAAAATCATGAACTCATGCTTATACATGATTTTACTCCCCAAGTTTATCACTTTTCACTTTTCACCCCAAAAGAGTAAACTCCAAAAGAGTAAACTCAAGAAAACCTCTCAAGTAGCAAACTAGAAACAATTCAATATCTTCAAACTTGTAAGTGTTCAATCCATTCCAAGTTGATTAAACACTTAATCTAGTGTTTGTGCATCTATTCATCCATTCACTTTTGTGTTTTTGATTAGATTTCCAAAAACACCAAGAACACCAAGAACACACACTAAGTGTTCTTGGACTTTTAGCATATTTCAAGCTTCTTAATAGTAAGTACTTCAATCCTTGAGTCTTATTGAGTTAGTATTACAAGTTAGCAACAAGAAAATATGCCAAGAACACATGGAACAAGGTGTTCATGGTCCAAGAATGTTCTTGGGCCGTAAACACCATATAAGGCACCAAAGTGTGCCTAAGTTATTAATCTAAGCCCTAGTTGGATGTTTAATCCTTCCTTAACATGTTTGAACCTTCCCTTGA